CCTGTCCCAGGGCCTGGGCTCTAGCACAGAGCCTGCCCCAGAGCCCAGCACGGAGCTGGGCAGGGCTGAAGCAGACACAGACTCAGACGCACAGGCCCTGCTGCTTGGGGATGAGGCCCCCAGCAGTGCCATCTCTCTCAGGGACGTCAATGTGTCTGCCTAGCCCTGTTGGCGGGCTGACCCTCGACCTCCCAGACACCACAATTGTGCCTTCTGTGGGCCAGGCCTGCCATGACTGCGCCTATGGCTCTGGCCATGAGCTCTGCCCAGGCCCACAAGCCCTTCCCCTGGGCTCTCCCAGGCAGGGAGAATGGGGAGAGGGACCTCCTTGTGTCCGGCAGAGACCTGTGGACCTGGCCTCCCCACTCCCAGCTCTCTTGCACTGCAGGCCCTGGGGCCAGCCCGCACACGCCATGCCTCCTGTCTCAACACTGACAGCTGTGCCTAGCCCCGGATGCCAGCACCTGCCAGGTGCTGCCCCTGGGGCAAGGGCCCCAGCAGCCCTACGGTGACCGCCACACTGTGCCTTACATCTGCCAGGGGCCCGGGCCGTGCTGTCCCTGCAGCACGCCTCCTTGCAGGGATCTGAGCCACCCTCCCCGCACAGCCCTGCACCCCGCCCCTGGGGTTGGCAGCCTCAGTTGGCCCCTGGCAGAGGAACAAGGACACAGACATTCCCTCAGTGTGGGAGCAGGGGACACAGGGAGAGGACAGTTGTCCCTGGGGAGGGCCCCCTGGCCCCAGGCAACCTTAGCCCCTCAGAACAGGGAGTCCCAGGACCCAGGGGGAGTCTGGGGAGCCTGTCTCTTGTGGCTTCCTGGGGTGGGAGGCACACGGGCACAGCAATACCCTAGGGAAAGTGGGAGGTGGTGCTGGTGCTCTCTCTAGGCCCACCATGCTGGGAGAGGCGGACGGGGCCTGGGGCTCCAGCCTGGGACTGCTGCGATGGGATATCACGGTGATGGTCCCATTAAAACTTCCACTCAGCAAACCTGATCTCCCTCCCTCTTTCTCTCGACTTTTGTCCTCTGCATCTTCCCGGCTGTGTAGGGTGGGCTGGCCTGCCAGGACTTGGAACCTGCAGCTGGTCAGCAGCTGGGTGTGGCCCCCTCCTCTGATACACAAGCCTGAGAGCAGGCTCCCCGAGTCCTGCCCAGCCCCTTGGCTGGACCTCCCGGGCCTGAGTGGCCTCTGGATGTCACAGGGAGGCCATGTGTCACCTTCACTCTGGGCCTTCACCTTTGTGGCTTAAGCCAAATCCCAGCCTCAAGTGGTGATCCTGTCCCAAGATGGGTACCAGGTGACAGGCATGTTTGGTTTTGGAGAATTGAGATTTCCATTTTCCCAGGCGATAGGTGTTGCTGCTTTTCAGAGTCCCCAAGGATGTGGTGCCACCATCTCAGTGCCACACACACCTGGCCAACATGCCGTGGCCCAGAAGCAGCACGCCTCTTCTCTCAACCCACTGGCCAGGCCCAGTCACAGCTCCACTCCACACGTGGCAGCCAGGAAGTGGGGAGGGCAGGAGGTGTTGGGCAAATAACCCTGACACTATCACCATCCAGTCCCCAGCCACCAAATGTCCCACTCACCCTCTCCCCTGTTCTGGATGCCCCGCCCCTCCCCAGGGCAGACGAATCCCCCTCCAGTGGCGGTAGCAACTCCAGTCTAGGGTCTGGGGCCGTCTCTGCATGGGTTGCTTCACGTACCTTCTTCACATCAGGGCTGGGGGAGGCGCCACCCCATCCAAAGACCTAAGAGCTAGAAGACCGTCACTGCCCCTCACACCCAGGGATAGGACGACTGCAGTAACCCCTGTGAAAGTGGGTGTGGAGGGCACCTGGCAGTCCCTGCTCCATGGCCATCTGAAGTCTTGCCAGGCAGGCACAGCCAGGGCCCCTGTCTGGGAGTGGACACCCCACTCCCCCAAGTCGTGCTCTCTGTGGCCTGGGGTTCCAGCCTCGTGAGGACCCCTTTCCTGTTTCCTTGGCCACGCTTGATGGTGTCCTCAAAGGAGCCCTCCTCAGTGGCAGAACTGCTTTCTCAGCCTCTTCCCCGCCAAGGTTCTTTTCAAGTCCCAGTAGTCACAAACTTTCATCCGGGGCTCTTCTTTCTTTTGCAATTCAACTCGAAATGACTCTGTGGTCTGCAGGTGACTCCATTCCAGGTGCCTACAGCCACGCCCACAGCGCCACCTCCGGACACTGCTGAGCTGCGCACCTCTGTCTGACACCTGCCTTTGGGAAACTCAGCAGCAGTGCCCAGCATCATAACCTGGGGCGTAGGAGGGCATCTGGATCCAGGATGGCACCCTCGCCACAATCTGTCCTGGCTCTGTACCTGCCCGTGGGGTGCACAGGAGGGCTCTTTCAGCCTCAAGTCCTTGCGTTCCTGGCCTTCGTTCCCTTTCCTCCCAGCTTGCAGGTGCAGATTTTTTTTTTTTTAGCTCATCGCTTCCTTGTAGTCCCTTGTCAAATGCAGCCTCTGGCCAATATTCAGGCCAGGGTTGTTTCCCAGCCTCTCCACTAGACATGCACACTTAGCTCACGATCTGCCTTATGAGTCATCACCGTTGAGCTTTACCAAATGTTTTGCCCCACCTAACAGCTTGCCAACATTCCAAATCCTGGCAGGTCACATGTTTTGTTAGCACAGCATCCCTCTTCTAGCAGCCAGCTTCTCTATTAGGCCAAGTTATGTTCCAGCTAGACAACTATGAGGCACAGACGTCTCACCCAACAAAGCTTTCTCATGCTGCAGGCCCACCTCAGGCTGGCAGGGGAAGGGTGGATTCTCTTCAATGTGACCACTCTGGGACCTATACTGATGGGATAGAGATCGCAAATGTTTCCAGGCACCTTGCCAGGGATAAGAGAGCTGTTGAGGGGCTCACACTTGGCAGTGGAAGTTCTGAAGGGCCTACAACCACAGGGGCTGCAACCCCACCACATGCACAAAAGTGGGGATAGATGGCAAACAGCACTAATGACAATGACAGAGCTGAGGCCAGAATGTGAGAGAGATGTGCATTTTGGGGATTAGGGCCTAGCCAGGCAGGTAGGAGGAGATGATGTTCAAAAAGGGAAAAGAAGCTTGATGAAAGATTGGTTTCTATAGAGACAGATTAGAGAACTGAAGCCTGAGGCTGCAGTGAGGGAGACCAATGCAAATTCCTAGGCCCTGGAGGTCCAAATACGGTTTTCTAAGTCCCTCAGGCCATGACCTATTCAGTCCAGACTTGTCTCCCAGAGTGTTTCTCTACCATCCCTACTCTAACTAGGACTTATTGGTGGTGCTTCTCTCCTGAGGCCAGATGCTTTGCATAGAACACTAGGGAACTTCAGGTATAAAGGTAAGGCACAATTGAGAATCACCTGCCCAGGACAGCAACACAGTGTGAAGGAAAACAGGCCACTCAACCCAAACCTGAGGAGACAGAGGCAACAGAAAAATCAGAAAAGGACTTTAGAACACATATAATCAAAATCTCAGACCTAAACGGGACTTTTGAAATAAACTATAACATAGGAAGAGGCACTTGTGAAACAAGAACAGGTAGTTTATAAAAAAGAACCAGCCAGAGACCCTGGAAATTTTTTTAAAAGCAATTATTAAAAAATGAAAACTCAGTGGAACAGTGCTGTGGTTTGAATGTTCCCTCCAAAATTCATGTTGAAATTTAATTGCCATTGTGATGGTATTAAGAGGTGGAACCATTAAGTGATTAGGCCATGAGGTCTCTGCCTTCATGAATGGATTAATGTCATTATCAGAGTGGGTTCATTATCATGAGCATGTGTTGTAAAAATGAGTTTAGCTGTCTCTTGCTTATGTGTCCTCTTGCTCTTTCATCTTCCCCCATGGAATGGTGTGGCAACAAGGCCTTTACCAGATGCCAGCCCCTCGACCTTGGACTTCCCAGCCTCCAGAACTGTAAGAAATAAATTTATTTTCATTATAAATTACCCAGTCTGTGGTATTGTTATAGCAACAGAAAATGAACTTGGGGATATTAGGTCGTGGAGAGTAAAAAAAAAAAAAAAAAAAAAAATTCCAATCAATCAAGGCATCCTCATTCTCAACATGGCCTGCATTCTACCCTCCAGGGGTCCCCTCCATGGCCCTTCATCTCCCCCAACCCCACAACTCAGCCTCATTTCTTTAGCCATTTTCTCCCCCACATCTCTCTTCCCTTCCCATCAGACCTTTGCACCCTGCAAGCTAAGCCACCTCAGGTAGCCATGCCCTCAGGGCTCTAACCCAAGCACCCACCACGGTGTTTTCCCCAACAAAAACTGTCCTTTTACTAAAAGGAATCTGATGTCAGCTGTTAGTCTCCCCCCTCCCCCATCTCTCCGAAAAATCACCTGGTCAGACAGAAGCCCAAGAGCAGGGACATGCCAGTTAAAGGTAGAGCTTGGCAAGGGTGTCCACAGAGTTGCCAGGCCCAGCATAGATCTAAGGGGCTTTTAACAGGCACAGGCAGAGTGTTAAGGAGATCACTCCCACCTACCCACCCATCCAGCCAGGCCCAAATAAACCTCTCCTTGTTCCAAATGAATGAGCAAACAGAAAAATTCCAGTGTGGAGGGAACACAACACCCACAATGCAGAAAATAGCCCACATCTGAAATATGCTCATCTCAGATAACCAGTCAACTGTGGAAATTATCTGCATAATCCTCGTAATAAAATTGAAGAACACAAAACCACTTCATACCAATAGTTCGGGAAAAAATTCCTATAAGGAGCATGTACCCTATTTATTTATTCCCACTCTGTTTTGTTTACTAAGCATGTATTATACTTATGAGAAAAAAAGCTCAATCTAAAATATTGCCAACAAAGAATCCATTCCTCATGTTGCAGTGAATGAAGCGGGCTGAGGTCAGCCTGGTTTTATGCTGGCTGCCCCAACTCTAAGGTCCTGTTAACAGTGGAGGATGTCCAGGTTCTTGGCGTTTTGAATAAAGAATTGGACAAAACACACAAAGAGAGCAAAGAAGGAATGAAGGGATTTATTGAAAATGAAAGTACACTCCACAGTGTGGGAGTGGGCCTGAGCATAGGCACACAAAAGCCCTGTTATAGAATTTTTGGGAGTTTAAATACCCTCTAGATGATTCCATTGGTTACTTGGGGTACGCACTATGTAGATGGAGATGATGAAGTTACAAAGTCATTGGCCTACGCCCTATGGAGAAGATATTTCCTGTCATAACTGAAGTGTGAATCGGCCTATGTTCCCTGCACCCAGACCCTATTTTCCTGCCTCCTACCTACAGCTGTGTGGTCCTGAGCTGTCACCTCTTCCCTTTGAAGCTCAGGTTCCTCATCAGTAAAATGAGGCAGGAATACCTACTGCTGAGATGTGTGATCACACAAACGCAGTGTCTCAACATGTTGTACATGTGTTTTGGCCCTTTGAGTCCTTGAGGACTGTCCCAGGTGGAACCCTCTTCACTTTTCTTGGAGAACTGACCATGGGTTGCAGCAAAGACTAAAATGGTTCCTGTTTCAGCCCTGCCTGGGAAGATTCAGCTGGAACCTTTAGGCTAGGAAAAGGGAGTAGGACCCTACCCCCACTGTACCGGACCTGAGACAAATCCACAGAAGAGCAATCCTTTCTAACTCTGGGCAGTATATGGACAAGATACTAATTTTTAATCTCTGCATCTCCATGAGAACGCAATGACCAGCACAGTGAAGTGCCCAATTACTGCCCCCTGAACAAATGGAGATGTCAAGTTCAGAAAAGATCCCGGCTGAGGAAGACAGGGAACATTCCCTTGAAAAACAAGGGCAGTCATCCAGACAGAACAAGAGGAGTGGCAGGATGAGAGGAGGCAGACAGGGCTGATTCTATAGGGCTCCTCCTCAACACCCATGAACCTGAGAAATAAGTGGTCAGATGTATTTCAGTCCACTGGCCAGCCGTGGGGTCATGGTGGGAACCAGTCCCACCTGAAGGACTCTCATCTTCCTACAATCCTCAAATACTGAGGCATGGGGATGCTGTTTCCTCCTTGAAGTGAGGGCCCCGAGGCTCTCGTACTTTACAATACTTCAGACCAAGAGCCTGCAGTTGAGGCCGCCAGGATCACGAACCAGCTGCCCCCCAAACCCCTTCTTATCTCACCAACCCAAGCTGCTTACAGCCCCTCCAGATATCCCGGGGGGGAATGTCGTTCTTCACGGCTGATGGAACATCTCTGCACCCTGGGGTAGTGGATGGGACCACAGGGCATATGCAGTGTCTTAGTCTGTTTCACGCTGTTATACCTGAGGTTGGGTAATTTATTTTTTAAAAAAAGCAAAACAGGTTTAATTGGCTCAAAATTCTGGTGGAAATTTCAAGATTGGGCCGCTGCACCTGGTGAGGGCCTCACGCTCCTTCAACCCCTGGCACAAAGTGGAAGGGGGCGGGGGCACACACAGAGATTATGTGGCAATATGGCGAGACAGGAAGCAAGAGACAAGCCCAGGAAGCCTGACTCTCTAACCAGCTCTCATGGGAACTCACCCCTCCACACAGGGTACTAACCTATCCATGAGGGATCCACCCCTATTACCCAAACTCCTCCTACTAGGCACAAGCTCCCAACACTGCCACATTGGGGACCAAATTTCAATACCAGTTTGGGCAGGGGCAGACCATATGCAAATCACAGCATAGGGTAATGGTGGGGGCAGGTTGACACAGGGCTGCTGCCTACCCAGCACCAGCTGTCTCTTGGCCCCTTCCAGATCCTGGGAATCTGGCTACCGGCATGGGCCCAGCCTTGGACACAGATGTGGCCACAGAAAGCTGTTAGCTCTCCAGATCTGATCGGCCTGGGAGAGTGGCACAACAAAAGGCTCCCAAAGGAAAGTCAAGATCCTCGGCCAGCCTCAGCTCTGCTACCCACCCACATGTGCCCAGGACAGGGAAGATATGTTTCTTACTCCTCCAGGACCACTAGGTGAAGCAGAGACCAGGTTCTTCTTGAGTCCTCTCGGCTGTGGTGCAACCACCAGCCTAGCAAGGAATCAGAAACATCTTCCGCAAGAGTCAGCACCATAGCGGGTGCTGAATAGGCAATGAAGCATCCCATAGGTGCTGGGCTATGTGGTCACTCCCTTTTCCAGACCAAGGCAAGGAGATAAGCACTCTGGGCCCCTAATCAGGGGGCCCGGGGCCAGGTGGAATGAAAACAGCAGTGTCCTACAACCTTAACTGCTACTCACGCAGGCCCCACCTGGCCTCTCAGAGGGAGGAACCTGGGACTCCTGAACCCGATTCAGTTTCTCCTTCAACAGCAGGGACTTTTCACTCCTGACTGCAGAAAAACAGCTTCAATGTGACCTTCCTTCGTAGCCCGAGGCTGGGTAAAACGGCCTGAGGCGGCAAAATCCGAAAAGCTCTATTGGGTGGCAAACTGCCGTCACTAGAAGAGTTGAGGCCCCCTTCTCCTCCCCTGCCTGGCCGCCTTCATTCCTGGGAATGGAACAGGTTCTTGCGGCAAGGGTGAATCCTCGAGCAGGTCCCAGGATCACTATCCTCACCTCCCCGCGGCACTGAGTGGCTATAGTTGTAAATGTGCGTCCACAGGGTCACTGTCCAGCAACCAGGACCAGGTGCCTGGCCATCTGGGGATTGGAAAAAGCTCAGCGGGATGCTCTGGCCGCCTCCCCTGACCCCAGTTAAGATGTAGAGCGTTCGAACTAAAATGCCTAGAAACAAAGCTCAGGCCCGGGAAGGTCCAACCATTGCGACGCCGCTCCCTCAAGCTCTTCCCTCGGAGCCGTCTCATTTCCCAAAACTCCCAAACACATCACAGAGAGAGGTGTTGGCCTAGGTGGTCACTCCCTTTTCCAGAACCACAGCAAGAAGTTGAGCCTGCTGGGCCCCTAACCAGAGCCCTGGGGCCTGGTGGGACGAAAAGCCCTATTAGGTAGCAAACAGCTGTCACTAGTGGGGTTGAGGCCCCCTTCTCCCCTGCCTGACGACAACGGCGGCAGGCACTCGACCGGCGTTGGACAGCTCGCTACTCGCCTTCCCTTGCGCAAACCGCGGTTCCTCCCAACTACCCGCGGCCACCGCCTCCGCAGCAGAGCGCCGGAAACAGAGACGCGTTTCGGAAGGGAGGTGCATGCTGGGAACGGCGCTGCATGCTGGGAGCTGTAGTGTGCGACGCAACTCGGCCGAAGTGCCTCCCTGGTCCCTGAAGCTCCCAGAGCCCGCGTGTTCAGGCGGTCCTGACACCCCGGCCCGAGCCCCACCTGCTGGAGGGCTAAACGCCTGCCGGCCCTCCGGGTATGAGCGGAGGCCGGGACAGCCCTGGGCTCCGCCGCCCTCGGAAGGAAAAACTACAGCGAGGGCAGCTGCCCAGCCTCGTAAGAGCAGAGCTCGGGAACCCCGCCCCCTGGGCCTCCGATGTCCGTGGCGCTTTCCGTCGCCCGAGTGCCATTGGGCCGGCCTGTCACGTGACCCGAGGCCCCGCGCCCGGTTGGCTGCCGCCTGGTTACCAATGGGAGACTAGCGGGCCGGCGTCCTGGCCTGGTCCAGCACCTGCGCCGCCCTCGGGTTTGGAGGGCTGGGCTGAGCTGGGAACGGGCGGGACGGGCCGGAGGCGGCGGCGGCGGACTCGCCTTCTCTCTGGGCTGGGACCCCGAGGCTACCGGCTGCAGATGGGAGCCCGCGGAGCCGAGGATGCGGGCGGGCCGGGGCGCGACGCCGGCGAGGGAGCTGTTCCGGGACGCCGCCTTCCCCGCCGCGGACTCCTCGCTCTTCTGCGACTTGTCTACGCCGCTGGCCCAGTTTCGCGAGGACATCACGTGGAGGCGGCCCCAGGTGGGACCTTGCGGGGTGCGGTGGGCGCCGTTTCTGGTTTCCGAGAACTCCGCTCCTCTCAGGGAGCGGGGCGGGGCGGGCGGGCAGGGTAGCTCCGAACGCAGGATCCGCTGTTGTTCTCCTCAGAAGCGGCCGCCCGGCCCCCTCTTTCTTACCTCCTTCCTACCCCCGCCCAGAACGAGCAGGACGCCGCGCTACCGCAGGGACACTAGACTAGGTCGTGGCCACCACCTGCGAGAGCTCCAATCCAGAAGGAGGCTCGGAGCTCAGCGAGAGGCGTTTTAACAGAGTCCCAAACCCAGCCCACCTGTTTGCTTCCGCCTTGAAGAGCGTTTGTGTCTGCTCTTCCCGGCAGAGAGGGCCGCTCATGCCCCTCTGAAGCGGCTGGGTCGAGCCCACAAAGCAAAGCGTGATAGAATTTCAGTTTTGGATTTTGTGCACCTGCCTTTCCAGTTGTAAACACTTAAAAATGGCAGCTGCAAGGGATGTCCTGGCCGAGTGCCGTGTTCATATTTTTAGAAGTGGTTTATCTGCTGAATAAGACTGCCCAGCGAGCAACCTTGCCCTAAGAGGATACAGTCTTAGCGGAGACAACTAATGGCCACCAGTCTTCGAACAGAACTGGAACTTCTGAGATCTGGTGACTGAGATGGTTTTGACAGGCCCCCTGGTTTCCTTGGACAACACTGAAGGGCCTGAGAGGAGGCAAGGGTCAGAGCATGTAGAGCCTTGTCGTTGTAATTTGGGTTTTATTTTGTTAAGAGATTGATTTTAGGTGCAGCTGGAGGCCACTAGAGGGTTTTAGTAGAGGAGCGATTCTTTTGGATGTGTGTTTTTACGAACTCACTCTTGCTGCTGGGTGGGAAGTGGATTGTCGGGGCAAGAATGCAAGGGACCATTGCAGTGGTCCTGGAGAAAGATGAAGGGGCTCAGATTAGCCTGACGACCGTTAGGTTGTGGATTTGGAGTAGATTGGTTTGAGACGTACTTTGCAGTGGGAATTGAAAGGCCTCAGTGACTGATTGAAATAGAGGGTGAGGATAGTGGAGGAATCGGCGTGTCTTCTAGGTTTCTGGCCTGAGCCAGTGGGTGGATGGTGGTCCTGGGACAGAGCCTGGGGGGAACCTAGAGTCGGACTTTGCTCTCACGTGTTCAGGTGGAGCTGGCCTGGAGGCAGGTGGATACAGAGCAGGGAGATCTGCGCTAGAGATATTCATCTGGGAGGCGGACCATATTAGATGGTTTACGGTCCATAGCCTGGGAGAGTGTCTCGGGGGAGTATCAGTAAAGAAGAAGGAGACCTTGGGACTGAGCCTTGAGGAACCCTAACATTTCTTGGGGTCAGGCAGGTGCCCTGACAAACAGACTTGAGAAGCAGCAGGCAGTGAGGTAGAGGGTACCCGGGGGCATGCGGCCTCACGGAAGCTGAGTGGGGACTGCCTCAGGGGTAGCAGATGGCGTTCTGCTGTTCTGAATACTGCTGAGTAGTTGGGAAAGAGAGTTGGGACCAAGAGAAGCCCAATGGGTTTGATAACATAGAGGTGACAGCGACATTGATCGAGGCAGTTTAGGGACCATGATTGTCTCAGAAGCTAGAGGAGCCTGCGTGGAGAGTGAATGGGAAGCGGGCAGTGGGCATGGCAACTCTTTCAAGAAGGTTGTAATGAAGAGAAGCCTGAAAGAGAATATGAAGGAGGGATAATGTCTTAAACAACATGGGGGTGGGATTCTGCCTGGGGAGCTGGAAGGGAAGGAGTTGTGAGAGGAGCCCAGGCTCTGAGGGCAGGAGAGAGGGTCAGGTTCAGAAGCAGGAGGCAAGGTCGAAGCTCAGAGGGGTGGGCAAGGGCAGTGTGGATGTTTTGAGTAAATGAGGAGAAAGGGGAAGGTATATGATAGTTAGGAGCTATGGTAAATGGAGCCTGCTAGAGAAACAGTAAGATTTCCAGCAGGATGGAGGATGCATTTGAGATTTACCAGCATGAGTGAAAAGTGAAACTTTTCTAAACCAACATTTAGCTGTTTTGAGAAGGAGCTTGGTAGAGTTTGGGATTTTTCCAGTAAGGAAGGAAGACAGACAGGCACCCCAGAATTAAGCTGGACAGGGGGATTTGAAGCCAGGAGCTGAAGGACACCCACTGCAGGAAACCACCTTCCTGTCCGCTTTTGGGTAACACTGATGATCGGAAAAGCTCCACCCCAACCCCTGTCATCTAGAGCCTTGGTTTCTTAGTTTGAAGGACTCCCCAGCAAGCATGATCTAACTCTGGACAACTTTCTGTATTTCAGGAGATTTGTGCCATGCCCCGGTTGTTTCCAGATGACCCGCAGGAAGGGCAGGTGAAGCAGGGGCTGCTGGGGGATTGCTGGTTCCTGTGTGCCTGTGCCGCCCTGCAGAAGAGCAGGCACCTCCTGGAACAGGTGTGGGGCCCCTTCTTCCTTGTGTTTGTCCTGGAGCTGGTTTCTCTTTGTGTTTCTCCTGCCTGCTGAGTACCAGGAGCCCTTGCGAAAGCTGAAGCGTGCCGCAGGCGGATCTCTCGCTGTGTTGGGGGAAAGCAGGAACATTCCAAGGCAGAGACTGAGGACTGCACTCTGTCCCTCTGCTGCAGGAGGGGGTGCCTTGGCCTTGCCAGAGGGCTCCGTTAGGGAGGTTCACCCTGCTGTGTGCTCTCGTGAGCCTTGGGCTCTCCATGGAGTCAGATCACCACATTTAGAATAAAGAGACAAATGTGCCAGCTCACAGGAGGACGGGGCTGGTTGGGGGACTCTGCCCCAGATCTCTCCTCAGCTAACTGACTGGTTTTCGTACAGGTTTTGAATATAAGTTTGCAAAAGGTTATTAAACCTGTTTCTGTGGGTAGACAGATACTCTGGGCAGAGAAGGCCTTCTCAGGTTTTCCTTCCCTGGAAGTGTTCATAGTTTTATGCTTGGCTTGTTGCTAAGCGTTGCCGATTAATGCAGCGGCATTGACAGTGTGACCTCATTCAGAGTTTCCCTCATGTCCCAAGCCCCATGGTAAGCATGTCACAGTCACTGGCTTTCAGTCTCACAGCCTTGCCAGCTTTGGCCTTTTTTGTTTTTAAATGAGAGTGCTAAAACCACTGCCATTGTGTTTCTGGCCATTAAGTGGCAGAGCCAGGACCGCACCAGGCACCTAGTGCCCAGCCTGCACTCCCCTGATGCTGGGGGTCAGAGTGCTTACTCCTGAAGGAGCCCTGCGGTGGACACAGTGGGTGCATCCAGCTGGCCCAGTGTTGGGGCGCCAGGCTCCCAGAAGCAGCGGGGGCTGCCATTCCTGTGGTGATATGTTGCTTGCAGTCAGCTCAGTCAAGAACTGGGTCACTCATACCCTTGAAAGTCATATTTGTTTTGGCTTCAGGTCAGATGCTTTTAGTGTGGGCAGCAGAGCATGGCCTGGGATATGTGCGTCCCTTGTTGTAGTCCTCAAGTTTTGCAATGAGAGGTGTGTTAATTTCGTGTGTGGTGACCGAGCCCTGTGAAAGCGCCGACATCCAGGTGTGCGTAGAGTTCTCTGCAGACCGTGGTGCCTGTGGAGCGCTCAGCTGTGGCCACACCGCAGCCAGGACACTGGAGCAGCGCCGGGTGGTGCTTATGTTACGCTCGTCTTTTGCTTCTCCCTGTGCATGGCAGGTCATTCCTCCAGGACAGCCAAGCTGGGCCGACCAGGAGTACCAGGGCTCCTTCACCTGTCGCATTTGGCAGTTTGGACGCTGGGTGGAGGTGACCACAGATGACCGCCTGCCATGCCTCGCAGGGAGACTCTGTTTCTCCCGCTGCCAGAGGGAGGATGTGTTCTGGCTCCCCTTACTGGAAAAGGTCTACGCCAAGTGCGTGTGCTGGGGGCTGAGGGCCTGGCCTGGGGCAAGTCGGGGAGCTGCCACTACCATGGGCTGCCCTGGGAGTGTCTCTGCTCACTCTGGGCTGCAGAGCCCCCTTCTGTTCTGAGGGTCTGGCAGCTCGTTCTGTGGGTCAGGCTGACTGGCCAGGTGCAGAGATTCTTCTTTTGGGCCTGTGGTTTGCCCACTCCCATCTTTCCCTTCCCTTGTTCCAAAGCCCAGCGTGGAGTCGTCCTCCACAGAGAGCATGTGCACCGCCCTCCTTGGTTTCTCGGCCCCAGCAAGAAAGATGCTTCTTTATATTTGTTGTGGAATGGTTGGGACAGGCAGCCTCACTGTGTAGTCATTGGGAAGGAATGAGGCTACCCCGGCATACCAACACTTGTGTATCATGGTGCTGGCTCTGGGGACCAGGACCCTCACCATGAGTCGTAATTGAATAGCCTTCCCTCTTAGAATACATTTATCATCTTGCCAAAGGCAACTGGACCAACAGGCAGGCAGGGAAGCTGGCGAACATGGGAAGGCTGGCCGGTGACATCAGTGCCCAGTGAGCCCTTCCATCCCAAGGGCTGGTTTAGGAAAAGCAGGGTTGGAGCTTGAGAGCCGAGGGATGTGGGCATCCATAGCTTCCACCCCTCCTGCCCTGCCCCTGTGCCCACACCGGAGGCTAGAGAGTTTCTATATGTGGGCAGAGGACTGCAGGGCACTCACGCTTGCTGCAAAGTAAGACGTTTGAAGGTGAGGCTAAGCCTTGACTTGATAAGGATGAGGACGACGGCAGAGGGGCGTAAAGAGGTGGGATTGAGGCAGTGGTTGGACGACTTGGGGTGCTACAGACCGTGGGAATCGGAAAGGAGGGCACGCTCAATGCCAGGGGCTCACTCCCGTGGTGATTGTGTCCCTTAGGGTCCATGGGTCCTACGAGCACCTGTGGGCAGGGCAGGTGGCGGATGCTCTGGTGGACCTGACTGGTGGCCTGGCAGAAAGATGGAGCCTGAAGGGCGTAGCAGGAAGCGGAGGCCAGCAGGACAGGCTGGGCCGCTGGGAGCACAGGACTTGTCGGCAGCTGCTCCGCCTGAAGGACCAGAGTCTCATCAGCTGCTCCGTGCTCAGCCCCAGAGCAGGTGAGGCACGTGGCCGGCACAGGAGGGCTGCAGCCGGCGTGCTCCTCATTGCCAGGCCTCAGGCACACTGTAGCTTTTTATGTGACTGGCTACACAGCCCTTTCAGGACTAAGTGGGAAGAAGTAAGCTTGTTCAGAAGGGTGGTGTCCTCGCTTTGTGACCTTCTCCTACTGTCCTCTTCCAGAGGGACGTGGCCCTTCTCTCCCCTGACCAGTACTTTCCGCTAGTGCAAGGCAGGAAGAAGTGGCACCGAGTCAAAGCCCACCGTCTGTGCCATCCTTGGCCCAGCTGGCAACCTGGCAAAATCAAAAGCTGTTTTTTATTTTAGTGATAGATATGTTCATTAAAAACAATTTGTTTCCAAAAAAAGAAGGGGGCCACATGTGGTTGCTCACATCTGTAATCTCAAAACTTTGGGAGGCTGAGGTGGGAGTATCACTGGAACCCAGGAGTTCGAGACCCGCCTGGGCAGCATAGCAAGATCTCATCTCTACAAAAAATGAAGAAAAAAATCACTCAGATAGAACCTCTTGTGACTTTTGAGTGCACTCTCAGTTTTCCATGAGCACATGTGGTTTACATGTTCCATTCCACACCACTTCTCACACTGCCACACACGCTGTCAAATGTTTGCCTCATGAACGGGTTTGCCATAGTCTCTTAATCATTCCCCTGATGTTGGATATTAAGATCTTTCTGGGCCGGGCGCGGTGGCTCAAGCCTGTAATCCCAGCACTTTGGGAGGCCAAGATGGGCGGATCACGAGGTCAGGAGATTGAGACCATCCTGGCTAACATGGTGAAACCCCGTCTCTACTGAAAAATACAAAAAACTAGCCGGGCGAGGTGGTGGGCGCCTGTAGTCCCAGCTACTCGGGAGGCTAAGGCAGGAGAATGGCTTAAACCCAGGAGGCGGAGCTTGCGGTGAGCTGAGATCCGGCCACTGCACTCCAGTCTGGGTGACAGAGCGAGACTCCGTCTCAAAAAAAAAAAAAAAAAGCTCTTTCTGGTTTTATATAATTCTAAATAGCATCAATGAACATTTTTATAACTTTTTTTCATACTTAGGATTATTTTTAAAATATTGGTTAAATAATATGAATATCACAATAAACTGAAACAGATTGTCGTAGGCCTTGGTCTGGTCCCCTATAAGCAGACCCTGAAATGGGGTTCAGGAGCACGTTGAGAGGTTCAGAGAACCTGGAGGGCGTGCACTCCCCACTAGCCCCACGGGGGTGCCAGGAAGGACGCTGGCCTCAGAGCCTCCCAACTGGGAGCGAGGGCCCTGGTCTTGTGGGCATCAGCTCAGGGAGCTGTTGGTTTTGGGCTGCTCTAGGGTGGGATAGGGCTAAGTCCTAGCACTTCAGACTTTAGAGAAAGCCCCCAGGCAGAGAGAGAGATGGCAGCTGGCACTGACTGGAGGTGCATTGGAGCCTGCCGAGGTGGCAAAGGGCTGCAGCATGGGTGAGACTGAAGTCCTTCCAGGAGACCCTCCTCTCTAGACCATTGCCCCGCCACAGATGTGGTGCCCCTCTCTGTTTGGCTCTTTCTTTTCTATGCCCGTCTGTCTCAAGGTCTCTGGCCAGGTGGAGCTGTTGCCCCCCTGGGCCTCCCTGCCTCCAGTGGCCTTCTAGCCAAGGCACTATGTGAATGTCCCACCTCCGGCAGGCTTTGCCAAGAGAAACACTCTAGGTTCTTGGCAGTTGCAGATGCATCTGTGCGTTATGTTTGAGAACTGGTGCTGTGCCAGGCGTCGTGCACTGATGGGTACGGGCGATGACTGAGGCCTAGAGAAGGGGATGACTTACCCAGCACCGGACCCGAATGGCAGCCAAGTCAGGTCCCGTGTGCTTGCTCCTGGAGATGCTCCTGAGCTGACGGGCCACAGCTGCTAAGAAAGGAGCTCCCGTGGTCCATGGGGATCTGGGGTCTCCCATGTAGCCGTAGTCGGGTGGGCTGGAGCATCTCCAGAGGAGACAGAGGCCCGTGTGTCCTTGTCAGTTTGGGACTCCATGGTGCCCTTCGTGCCCGTGCCCGAGCCATTCCTCACGCAGGTGCTCGGGAGCTGGGGGAGTTCCATGCCTTCATTGTCTCGGACCTGCGGGAGCTGCAGGATCAGGCGGGCCAGAGCATCCTGCTGCTGCGGATCCAGAACCCCTGGGGCCGGCGGTGCTGGCAGGGGCTCTGGAGAGAGGGGTGAGTGCTGGGGCCTGGACCATGCTGCTGTCGGGAGGGGGGCCCAGTACCAATCTGGCCTGTGTCCTGGTCACCTTCAGCTGTCAGGACCGTACTTGGCTATCTCCACCAAGGCCCCTGAGCCCCTGCTCTTGTGACACCATGCTTGTCTTGGCTCCAGACAATCCTTTTGAGGCCTGGGACCAAGGTGGCCCTTGGACCTGGGGTTTCAATAGGGCAGACATCATCACGGGCTCAGGCAGCAGTCCTGGGAAGACACGTCCAGAGACGTGAAGCTCCTCTGGGAAAAGAGGCTCCCGTGGGTGGCCGCTGCCCGGAAGGCCCTGTGCTGCAGAGCTGCTTCAGGTGTGGGAGGGGCCGCAGAGCTGGGGCGCGGGGGCGCTGGCAGGAACTCAGGGCTCTCTGGGTCCCCTCCAGGTTTCCCCCCAGCCTGCCGGCCAGCTGACGCCACCAGTTCTCGGGAGGGGCTTCTGCTAAGATGAGGTTTCTTCCAGGGGTGAAGGGTGGAGCCAGGTAGATGCAGCGGTAACGTCTGAGCTCCTGTCCCAGCTCCAGGAAGGGGAGTTCTGGGTGGAGGAGGAAGAGTTCCTCAGGGAGTTTGACGAGATCACCATTGGCTACCCAATCACGGAGGCCGGCCACCTGCAGAGCCTCTACACAGGTAGTGCCCCGAGGGGCCGTGCTGGGCATGTGCTCTGCCTGCCCAAGTGAGGAGGCTGGGCAGGTGCCCGGGTTCCCCCTGCCCATTCCTGGTTTGCTGCTTTCAAGTGTGGAGAGATGATTCTGTCCCAGGAGCCGGGAGGAGAGTGGGCTCATGGGAGGGGCTGGCTCTGTCTGTGGCCGTAGCTGCTGCTTAGACACTGCCAGGGTTCATGAGGCCACCGCGGCGGGAGGCCAGTGAGGAGCCATGTCCCACAGCTGATGCCTGGTGTTTTCTCACTAGAGAAGCTGCTCTGCCACACTCGGGCGCTGCCTGGGGCCTGGGTCAAGGGGCAGTCAGCAGGAGGCTGCCGGAACAACAGCGGCTTTCCCAGCAACCCCAAATTCTGGCTGCGGGTCTCAGAACCGAGTGAGGTGTACATTGCCGTCCTGCAGAGATCAAGGCTGCATGCAGTGGACTGGGCAGGCCGGGCCCGGGCACTGGTGGGTGACAGTCATACTTCGTGGAGCCCAGCGAGCATCCCAGGCAAGCACTACCAGGCTGTGGGCCTGCACCTCTGGAAGGTAACTCAGCCCCGCCTGGCTCACGCTCGGTTGGGCAGGTGGTGTGGAGGCCAATGGAGGTCTTAGTCCTAGGACTGGCTCTGCCGGGACACGTGTAACTCTGCCACCGGCCCCAACGGTCTCCCCTATCCTTGTATTGTCGCACGGGGTTGACATCTGCTGGTGCTCCCAGACCTGGCTCTGACCTGAGACTGCAGGTCTGGGCGTCTTTCTGCCTTGCCGTGTGCCTCATTGGCCAAAGGAAAGCAACAGAGTCTGCAGCCAGGGCAGGACCCGCAGGAGGGGCTTGGGCCTGGGGACTCCTGGCAGCGCTGTGCCTTTCTGAGGCAAGGAGGAAGAGCCAACGGCTGAGGACCTGTCAGGGCCAGTCTCAGCTCTGCAGCTTGCTGTGTGACCTGGCACACATCCTCTCCCTGCCTCCCTGTCTCTCCCCCTGCAAGACAGGGTCCTGACATGGATCTCATGGGATTGCTCTGAGGCCCAGGCAGTCCCAGGCCCAACCACTGGTTCACAAAATATGCTGTTTCCTGGAAGAACAGATGGGGGCGCCTGGAAGCAAAGGGCCTGAGTGTGGGTCGAGAATATGCCAGCTGCTTGCTTAGGGGCTGGATTGTCATCTTGTGCGTCTTGACAGGGTGTGACACTTGGCACTACACTGTTCCCTGTTCCTTCATGGATGTGGCCCACATGATGTTCCTTTCCTCTTGCAAAAGAAGTTGCTGGAAGGCCCACTGTCCAGCAACCCCAGGTTGCCTGGGCCACGGTGCCTCTGTGGGCCCAGCTACAAGGGAGGACTTGCAGGCTTGTGTCTGGGACAGATACCGGCCCCAGGGCCAAGTGAAGCCCGGGATTGGTGGGCATCTCTAGCTGGCCCCTGAGAGAGGGTGGAGGGTGCTGACAGGCCTTGCGCTTTCGTCTGTTAACTCCAGAGGCCGTTGTGCTTGGAGCAGGGAGGCCAAGGCCAGGGCACCTGACGCCGGCCTCTCCTCTGCACTGAGCCTCCTGCCTGTGCTCACAGGTGGAGAAGCGGCGGGTCAATCTGCCCAGGGTCCTTTCCACGCCCCCCGTGGCTGGCACTGCGTGCCACGCATACGACCGGGAGGTCCACCTGCGTTGCGAGCTCTCACCGGGCTACTACCTGGCTGTCCCCAGCACCTTCCTGAAGGACGCGCCAGGGGAGTTCCTGCTCCGAGTCTTCTCTACCGGGCGAGTCTCCCTTAGGTGAGAGGAACCGTGCAGTGCTGCTGGCTCTCCGAGCCACAGCCTCTGGAGGACCACAGGCCTTTCCGAGGCAGGATTTGGGCACTTCCCCTCTGTGGTTGGCAGGTATCCATGTGGGGACTGAGGCCGCCGGGAACCTGCTGCCAGCGCCCTCCCATGTTTGTCTTCTTGGCAGCGCCATCAGGGCAGTGGCCAAGAACGCCAGCCCCGGAGCAGCCCTGCCTGCGGGGGAGTGGGGGACCGTGCAGCTGCGGGGCTCCTGGAGAGCCGGCCAGACGGCGGGGGGCAGCAGGAACTTTGCCTCGTACCCCACCAACCCCTGCTTCCCCTTCTCGGTCCCCGAGGGCCCTGGCCCCCGCTGCGTCCGCATCACTCTGCATCAGCACTGCCAGCCCAGGGACACCGAGTTCCACCCCATCGGCTTCCATATCTTCCAGGCAAGCTCCTTGCCCCAGGGAGGGAGGGAGAGTAGAAGGGGCCTTCAGAGAATTTGCATCTTGGCCTCCACTGTCTCAACAGAGGGCTCTGGGCTCAGTCACTTGGGCACACAGGCCCGGCTCCCCCTGCTCTTCGAGGCGCTGCCTGGAACCCGCACGGGCCCTCTCCCGTCTCCATCCTCACAGAGGCGAGGCTGAAGATGGCGTCTGGAAGGGCCGGGGGCCTGGGAGGTGGGCAGGGCTGACCCAGGCAGGGCAGGTTTCTGGAGGGGGTGGTGAGTGGGGAGGAGGGAAGAAGTTTGGAGGGGACAGGAGGCCGAGGTTGAGACTGGCGGAGGTGGGTCGAGCCCTGGCTTAGGGACGCAGGAGGCCGATGGACTCAGGAGTGAGAGGAGGGGAGGCCCAGGCTGGCTGGCCACAGCAGCGTCTCGGGTGTGAGGAAGTCCACAGTCACTGGGCTCAGCCTGTGGCCCCTTGTCTACTTACCCTGACTCAGAACAACTGTGTCCCGAGGTTCATTCTCTGCAGACATGTGTCCCCTGGAATGCAGGGGCCCTGATGAGGAAGGCACTGCGACCCTTGGTTCACAGTGTGCTGCCTGGGGACCGTCGGAGCCTCGCTGTTTGCCCTGGGCTGCCGGCTCAGGTCCCCTAGAGCTCTGAGGAAAACACATGCCAGGGCCAGTGGGAGCCCTTGGGGCGGGCTGGGCAGTCACAGGTGTTAAAGCCCCTGATGGTGCGATGGGCCTCCAGGCCGGGGCCCCACTGCCGGCACCTTCCGGCAAGGGCGGCCAGGCCTTGGTGAGGAGGTGAGTCCAGTGTCCAGGCCTGGCCGCCCCTCCTTGGAGAAGGGGCTGTGTGTAACTCAAGAGGGCATCCAAGCAGATGGCCCTGGGCTGCATCCCCTACCCCAAGGCTGGCTCCCTCAGTCTGAGCCCACGCTTCCCCCAGGTCCCAGAGGGTGGCAGGAGCCAGGACGCGCCCCCACTGCTGCTGCAGGAGCCGCTGCTGAGCTGCGTGCCGCATCGCTATGCCCAGGAGGTGAGCCAGCTCTGCCTCCTGCCTCCAGGCACCTACAGGGTCGTGCCCTCCACCTACCTGCCAGACACAGAGGGGGCCTTCACTGTGACCATCGCAACCAGGATTGACAGGTGGGGCTCTGGGACTTGGGGGTGGCCAGCTGGAAGCTGAGGTCCTGGAGTCTTAGTGCATGCCCGTCCCCCCACGTCTTTCCTGCCCACCCCTCACCCTCAAGCTTCTACCTATCCTGGCGGACCAGGGCTGTCCTGCCTGCCTGGGGACCCTTCCTTGCTGGTCTGAGCCTGGGAGGAGAGTCTGGTGGAAGGTGGGCCAGGAGCACGCAGCTCCTCGTGTGACAAGGTCTGGGAGCGGTGACCTGGTGTCTCTCCACAGGCCATCCATTCACAGCCAGGAGATGCTGGGCCAGTTCCTCCAGGAGGTGTGTATGCAGCCCCGCCAGCTCGGCTCACCTGCCTGGGGCTGCCTGGTGGCCTAGGGTCTACCTGCAGCCTCAGGCAGGTGGCTTCTCTCTGGGACGTGAGGTGCCCTTGACTCTTCCTGTGAGAGCCCCGGGCGGTGCTTTGAAGGAAAGGGGGAGCTGAGGCTGCGTCCCATTCCCTGGCTGCACTCGGGGTGGGATGTGAGAAGGGGCGAGTGCCACCACTACCTGGGCCCCCGTCTGTCCTTGCAGGTCTCCGTCATGGCAGTGATGAAAACCTAACAGGGTGGCTCCCTATGCCAGCTCAGGTGACTGGAACTCAAGGGCCTGACAGGTTCCCAGCAACTGGGCCGGCCAGCCTTGCACTGTGAGGGCTGGTCCTGAGTCTTGGCCTGCCTCCCAGCCCTGCCAGGGGGCTGCTGCCTAAGAGTCCACGGGAAGCCTCCATCATGAGAGACTCAGCCCTGGGGGCAAGCAGGTGCTGCAGAGGAAGGGCGGGAAGCTTGGCGGCTTCTGTCGCGCCTCTGAGACGGCAGAGACCCCAGGATCCCAGAGCTTCCCAGGATCCCTCCCAGATCCTCCTCTGCTGACTCCACACGGAAGCCTCACACCCACAGGGTAGGGCAGCAGATCTTCTTTATACCTATGTATTGTTTGCATCACTTTTAGGATGTAACTTTATAAATAAACATGAACGCTGAGGATTCGCAGATCCGTCTTCCTCCAAGGAGCTCCAGGCTGTGCCCGCTCTTGCTGAGCAGGCTGTGGGGAGGGCTGGGGGCCTGCCGAGGTGGTGAGGATGAAGATGGCCTTTGGAGGGGCTGGGGGCCTGGCGAGGTGGGCAGAGCCAACCCAGGCAGGGCAGGTTGCAGGATGAGATGGTAAGTGGGGAGGAGGGGAGAAGTTTGGAGGGGCGGGCACAGGGCATGCCCCAGGCCAGGGGGCTGAGGGCTGAGGTTGAGGCTGGCTGGGGCAGGTCAAGACTTGGCCTTGGGGGACTGATAGACTGGGGAGTGAGGGGTGGGGAGGGCCAGCGAAGGCACTGCTAAGGCTGTGGTGAAGAAGGACGTCTCGGAAATGGGTGTTAGAATGGGAGCTGCTGCAGAGGGAGGCACCCTAGGTTAGTGTGGACAGAGAGCCTTGGATCTGGACGGCTCCTCTGCCTTCAGCTGGAGTTCACCTGCGCAGTGTCCTAGGATTACTTATTTCTCCAGGCCTCTCTCCTTCATCCCTCACACCAAATGCTGCAATGAGAGCTATAGTGTCACTGAACGGTGCAGAGGTCAGTTCCAGACATGGCTGGGGAGGGCTGTCACTAAGCCCTTTTGTTTTAGAGACAGGGTGTTGCTCTGTTGCTCAGGCTGGAGTGCAGTGGTGTGATCATAGCTCACTGCAGCCTCAACCTCCTGGGCTCAGCGATCCTCCCTCTTCAGCCTCCCAGCTGGCTAGGAAAGCAGGTGCGCTGCTAAGCCTGGTTAGCTTTTGAATTCTTAAATCCTCCTTCAGCCTCCCAGGTGGCTAGGGAAGCAGGCGCGGTGCCAAGCCTGGTTAGCTTTTGAATTATTGAATACTTAGGGGTCTTGATATATGGCTGCCTAGGCTGGCCTCAGCGATCCTCCTGCCTTGGCCTCCCAAAGCACTAAGATTGCAGCAATGAGCCACCAGCCCCACCACTAATCCCTTTTAAATTCCATTCGCTTCTTGAGTCCCTTCGTGCCTGGGGAGACCCTGTGTATTGGTCCTTTTTCACATTGCTATAAACAACTCTCTGAGACTGGTAATTTATAAAGAAAAGAGGTTTAATTGCCTCAGTTCCAAAGACTGTACAGGAAGCATGGCTGGGGAGGCCTTAGGAAACTTAGAATCATGGCGAAGGGGAAGCAGGCAGTCTGCAGGAGGAGGAAGAGAGCGAAGGGGAGGTGCTGTGCACTTTTAAACAACCAGATCTCAGGAGAACTCACTGTGACGGAAACAGCAAGGGGGATGTTTGCCGCCATGATCCAGTCATCTCCCACCAGGTCCCTCCAACACTGGGGATTATATATAATTCGACATGACATTTGGGCAGGGACACAACTCCAAACCATAGCACCCAGTGAGCCTGATTTGGGCCTTGCTGCCCGATCACGACCATCTCTGGAGTCCTGGTGTCTGTGTTCCCACTGGGACCTGTGCCGCTGTTCCCCTCTCCATACCCTAGCCATGCCAAGTCACCCTCCCCACTCACCCACAGGAAGCTGCCCTGGCCCTGGCCCTGGCCCTGGCCCCTTAGCCCCTCTGCTTGCTGGTTCAGTGGCCCACAGCAGCAGTGGCTGTGGCAGCTGGGTTCTCAGCATCTTCAGACATGGATTCCTGAGCAGCAGGATTGGGCTCTGTCTCCCTGTGTGCAGAGCCTGCCACAGATCTCCCTTATCCACTGGCTTATGTGCTGACTTCGGGTGAAGCCAGTGGTGCTGCCTATTAGGGTGCAGGAACTTGGGGCAAACAGTGAGGGGCTAGTCACCAAAGAAATACCCTGCAGGACAGTGTGCAAGCCAGAGGCTCGAGCTGGGTCAGAGCTGCCCTAGATCCCTGGGTTTGTGGGCAGGCAGGTCCTGTGCAGGGTGCCTGAGGGTGCAGGTTGAGGTGGGACAGGTGGGGTCGAGGTATTTCTCAGGGACAGTGCCTATGAAGGGAAGACAGTTGCAGGGGTTGTGTCCATGTCAGGATAGACTGTGGTAGGGACCCCGGGAAGAGTGCTGGAGCAAACCCCACCTGGGCCGGCCAGGCCCTTATGGTGAGCATCCCTGCCCCCCAGGCCCTCGGGAGCCACTGTCCCTGAGACAGGCCCTGACGGTGGCGGCCACACCCTCCAGCTGAGCAGCTCTTCCCAAAGTCCTCAGCCAGGACCTGCTCCCCCATCCGGGCCGTCGCCTGAGAGGAGGCCTGGAAAGCGCAGCGTTCCGTGTCTCTGGGGCCGTGGTTGGTGCCCGTCATCTCTCCGCTGCGGGCTGGCTCCACTCGACCTGGCTGCCTTGGCCGTCTGGTCTACCAGCTGGAACCATGTTCCTGGGTGTGGAAAAGGCTCCCTCTGGAGCCTGCAGAGACCCCGAGGCCCTGTGCATCCTTCCGATGGGAGGTGCCAGATGCGATTGGAGGGAATGCCTGGCAGGCCTCTAACCCCCAGCCAGCCTGAACATTTCCGGTGCAGGAGGCCCCGGCCTGGCGTTGTTCGTCCCTGGTTGCCTCCTGCTCCGACTCCATCAGCATCCTGTCGTCAAGGTCGTGGATCAGTGCGGTGCTTTCAGGGCGTCCGGCCAGCTGGTCTGTCTGTCGTATATTATGGCAGAGGCCCCAGGAAAAATGGCAAATGCCTTTGTCCATTCCATACAAATTCCATAGGAATGTGAGCAGTTTCTGATCTTCCATGGCATATTCGTCCAGTTGATGGCCAACCCTGGGTACTTGGGCCTCCAGGGCCTGTTGCACTGGGCCGCCCCTCAGCCGTGTGTGCACTTGCCACGTGGCCCTCCAGGAATCCCACCCCACAGGGCCACACTGAACCAAATGGAGAGACAGCAGGGCCACCACCCTCTCTCCACATGCCATGGCTGCTCTGGGACCCGGGCAGGAGGGGACAGTCTTGGCCTTCTAGTGTCCCTCTTGGCCTTCCCACGGCCATCTCTACCCCAAAGATGCAACAAAGATGTCGGTCACTCCCCAGGTGTCAATCTGTCACAGGCTCAGAGACCAGGACGTGGCCCCGGGTGGGTCTGTAGGCCCTGTGGGCTCATGTGAGCTGGTCCAGGGCAGGACTCCATTATTAACTGCCTGTCATGTGTCCCACTGTGATGGAGCCCTGGTGACTCTTGGGGACCAGTGTCAGCTTGGCCTGTGTGCTCAGTGGCTCCCAGATGTCTGGACATTCTCTCCCCGGTGCACATAGTCCCTGGGGAAGTCCTTGTCATGCATACTTGCCGATGGGGGAGTGTCCTTCATCTTGCAGGCCTGGCCACCTCTTCAGTCAACAGATACCTGGGCCGAAAACCAACTCGGGCAGTGTGGGCCCAACTGGGGCTCTTCAGTGGAGTGACCACCCTTGGTCCTCCTGGATCCCTCTGCTGGCTCCACCTGAGCGCTGCCCTCGCTGGCGGCCCTTGCCTTGCTCTGTTGCCATCCTATAAGCCCTGCAGTCAGGCCCCTTGGCGCCCTTCCACTGTGTTCATATTGTCTCCTGGCCTCTGCTGTGTAGAGGTCTGATGCCCTCCGCCCCTGGCGAGCCAAACCCTGTGATGGTGGTTCCTGCCACCAGCTTCCTGTGGCACCACTACCACTCCCGCCAGCCTCCTGCGGCACAGCTGCCACTCCCCGTTAAGAAGCATGGCACAAGTGAGCGGCGTGACCTTGGTTTTCCCAGGGAACCAGTGCTTGGCAGCTCCCACCACACACACGTCTACGCCCACCCTCCGCCAGCCACAGCGGTTGTGACGTCTCCACCCTGCCCAGCAAAAGTGGAAGTGTGGCCTGTGCTGCTGGGAATCTCCGGGTTTGCCTCCAGGGGCCTTGCCGGGGTGTCAAACCCTGTGTCTCTGGACACTGTCATTAGGTCTCAGCTTCCCCATCAGGCACCTCAGCACCCAGTCCTGCCAGTGCTCCTGCCTCCTGTCCCCAGCTGGCCGGGCCTGCAGCCCCCTTCCGTGCCCCGAACTGGCCGGGCCTGCAGCCCCCTCCCGTGCCCCAAGCTGGCTGGGCCTGCAGCCCACTCCCTGGTCACTGGATGTTGCTGACACGTCACTCGATCGGAGCCCTAGCACCCAAGGGGGCCAGGGCCTGACGGGGGAGGAGCGAGGGGTGGGCCACGTCTCTCTGCAGGCTCAGAAGCTTCCTGAGAGGCTAGAGAGTGAAACCTTCCGGCACCACGCACGGCCTCCTCCCTGTCCGGGGTCCTGGGTTCTCCAGATGGGGCCTTGGCCTTGGCTAGGTGTTGGTCAGGAGCTGGGGTGCTGCGCCCCCACCCAGCTTCTCTGAACTCCAGCCGGGCACCTCAGTGAGGCTTCAGCCACCTGTGCCTTATTTGCTTCCTCCTTGGAGCCCCCTCGTGTCTGTGCATTCATCAAACAGCAGCTGGGCCCCCCAGCACACCCCCTTCCTCAACTTTCCCACTGGACACTGGAACCAGAGTCACAACTGGACTGGACAGGACGACCACTTTGTGCCAGGTGCCAGCTATCTCCCCTGACCAGTGATGGGTCTTCATTTCCCATGGGCTGTGAGTGACCCAGTTCCAAATCCCAAATTAGTGACTCTCTTCTCCAGTGGGGGTTGGATTCTCCAGAAGCAGAGACAGACATAGAATTTGGGTGCAAGGTATTTCGGAGGGAAGGTGGAGGAGGTGAGGTTGGTGAGGGAGAAGCCTGGAGTGTCGGTAGCCAGGGTGCCCCCACCTGGCTGAAACGCCTGGCCTTTGTGCCCTGCCTGGCTTGGCCTCCCCAGGCAGGCTACCCCATGGCATCCCTGGACAAGGCCGTCCCCAAGAACGCTGCCCACAGCCCAGCCATGGGCCTTCCCTTGGGGCTCCCGCCCCGGCTCACACCTGCCAGCCAGCGGATTTACTCATTGCTGGCTGCACCCTCTCAGCAGTGGCCGTGTGCACCATAACCCTGGGAACACCTGCAGGGAGACACACCCTTGGCCTGGCAGCTTGGGGGAGACTCCTGGGGTGTCAGGAGGG